CGAGCACTGGGCCCGCAGCCTCTCCACTGTGTCCGGCTCCGACAGGCTGGCCCTGACGAAGCTGGACATCTTGGACGCCCTGGACGAGATCAAGGTCGGCATCGCCTACAAGCTGAACGGGAAAAGGATCCCCTATTTCCCAGGTACGAGGGGAGGCAGCTTCCCGCCCTGGCAGCGGCACTGGCGCCCGGCAGACGTGCCCGGGGCCCGGCGAGAGGGGAAGGCTCGCCCCTGGCGAGTGTAGAAGCAGCGCTTGTCTGACCCCTGGCCGCCCAGGTCCACGTATGAGGGCGTGGCCGGTTCTCGGGTGGCTGCAGGGGCGTCCCACGCGTTGGGCAGGGCTCAGAGGGACTGGCCTGGTGGCAGGTGGAGGCAACTGCGCACCAACCCCGGGTCCTGGGGATCCGCGGGCACCAAAGCCCCGCTCCTGTTAGCAGAGGTGAACCTAAAACTCTGCAAATGGCAAGATGAAAGTGCGACCTAAGAAAACCCTTCAGGTGGCCGTGCGAGGCTCGCTGGGCTCCCACCGCCACACCCCTCCCCTGGGAAGCTGGGGTTCCTGACTTCACACCCGGGTCCAGAGCACCAGCGGCTTCCGCCCTCGCTGCCCCCTCCCCCGTCTGTAGACCCACCAGAGATTCCAGGGTCCCCGACTCGCCCTACTGGCCCTGACCTTTGAGAGGGCACAGCACAAGTGTGGCGTGACCCCAGGGTCAGGTTCGGGGTGCCTGCTTGTTCCAGCATCTTCCATTAGTAGCAGATGGCTGGCATCTGTGAGCCCTGGGGTCCCGTCCGGGGGGGCCCCTGCCCAGGGAGGGGCGGGCATAGCTCCTTTAGGACGTCTTAACACGTTAAATCTCAGAGCCAGCTCAGTGGCTGAGCGTCGACCTGTGAGACAGGAGGTCACGGTTTGATTCCCGGTCAGTGCACAGGCCCCGGTTGCAGGCTCGATCCCCAGTGTGGGGCGTGCAGGAGGCAGCCGATCACTGATCCTCTCCGTGCCTCTATCACTCTCTCCCTCTCCCGTCCTCTCTGAGACCAATAAGAATATGTCTTTAAAAAAAAATAAACAAAATCTCAGAGCCACCGTTTTTTTAGCCGCACCAGCCGGGCGCCCGTGAGAATTTCCGAGCAGCGTCCCGGCCTCCTCGCTGGGTCCCGGGGTCGCCCAGCAGAGCCCACGGGAATGCGCGTGGGTGGATGTGGCCCGGTGT